AAAAATAACAAACAACAGTTTAAAAAAAAGGATTAAATTTCATTTAAATAACCGGGGAAAAAACCGGAAAAAAAAGATATAATCTTTTTATTAGTCCACGCGATTATATCCCTAAAACAGAGTGCTTTCTGATATTGTATCAATAAAGCCAAAGATATTAATGCAATAGTGTGAAACTTATTGTTTTTCTTAACTTTCTTCGTGTTTTCTTGTATATATATATATATATATATGCATAATGCCCATTAAGAACACGATCTTGTAATTAATATCATATAGTGGTGGTTTATACATCGAAGTCATTAAAATATATATACATAGTGGTAGACAAAGCTCTTTTAATTCTAAGTAATTAAAAATATTAATTTATCACTTTTGCTATCGCAAAGAAAACTATTCGTAGTTGCTGCAGGATATGCTGCATGCAATCTTTTTTGGCCTTTGTCCTGCCAGACTAAGTATTTTCAATCGAAATTTGCTGTTCTGTAAAGGGTTAGAAGAAAGTTATAATGATGGCCCGAAAGGCAAATGTTTCCTTCTGTTCGGGTAAAAGTTTTCTGCAAATTCTAATAACATTTCTTAAAATTTTTAAAATAATTAATTCCTTAAAATTTGTCTTAAAATTTCCAGCATCATTTCACTACCATTTCAGAAAATACTTTGCGTAGGCCTCAAATATTGGGGATTATAGATGTATATTTTTATAATGCAGTCATAATTTCTCAATTGTAAGAAGAAAAATCGAAAGTCAATAAAATTTTATTAAACAATTTGCATTAAATGATCTATAGTGCGCTCCGTCATAAGTCAAAATAATTATCCAAAACAAGCGGAAAAAATCCGGTCAAATATGAGAAAATGGACTTTTTTGCACCAACGTTTCAAAAAGTTAACTAAAAATCACTGCAAAAAATGAACAAAAATTCCAGCTATTGTAAAGAATTTCAAACCTATTGAGAATGAACTCAATTTTTACTCCTCTAAAAACTTCGTTTATTTTACCTTTTTCCTTGAATTGTTTTGTATTTAAATGTATGGAAATTTTCCGGATTTTCACTACGTTAAACTTCGAATAAATCAAAAACCTTCGAGCAATGGAACAAGTTATACTCAATTCCCCAATGTTGATCGACGATATGAAAAACCAAATAAAGAGGAATGAAAAAAAATACAAATCTATGGTTCTTATGTTCTGCTTAGGAACCAGTTATTAAGTTTCAAAATTTGTTATACAATTCGTAAACAGATGGCTCTGTAAAATGATTGAAACTCTTAAATAATATTTACAAAATAGCCTGCATGAACAGCAAGAACGTCGTACGGTCTGCGATGGCTATGGAATAGATTGACAGAGTCTATGCAAATATTTCAGTTGCGATAGCCTGATAGGTGGAAGAAAACAGTTTTAAAGTACTTCACATTGAGTAGGGTCTTGTGTCTCATATCAACATTTCAAAGATTTCAAGCAGATGGCTGTACTAGCTAGAAAATGTATAAAATAATGTTTATTGTGGAATATCAGATGGCATTTTATCTGAAATAATTGAAGGCTATGCCTTTTAACTTTGCTCTCAATCGGCGCCCGTAATTGCAAGACGAATGTTTTGAGAACATTTTTTCTAAATGTTTTCTTCAGTTAGCAGAGTGATCTTTTAACTTACTTTAATAATTGGTAAAAATAAATTACCTAGTTCTTCTTAGTGGAACATAATAATCCTTTAATTATTTCTTTTCAATCGGCAGTCATTTTAGTGATAATCAGTAACGTAGTGATCAAATAGAAATTTCTAGAGAAAGCTTCATCAACTTAACTTATCCCTATTCAAATTAACCCGTTTAGAACCATGGTCATATTTATGTAAAAGCGCGATTCTCCATTCCCGGCTCACGGTACAGTATAAAGAGCTCAGTGGAAGAGCCAGGAAAGTGATATATTTATTTTCAAAGTAATTGTAAGCAGGATAAAAGGAAAATAAATGGTATCTGAGCTATTTTATTATCAATATATTAGAATGCAGGATAAATAATTCTTTGCCTTCCTTTATTTGACTTGTGCAGGTTAAATCTGTCGGATTTTCGAAGTCTTCCAAGTTCCCATAACAAATAAATACCTTTTAGGATTCTGAAATTGAGATTGATAGTTCTCAGCATAGATGTCAAAATTACAATCTGTGGATGAATGAATGGAGTATGAATGGGTCCTCCCTGTAAAATGGGCTGTGATGTGGGTGTGGCTGAAGTCGTATTCTTGGCCATAGATGACTCCACTGAAAAACAAGAAACATGTTAAATCTGTCAGATTTTCGAAGTCCTCCAAGTACCCATCACAATTGCTTATCTTAAAATCGCTTGGATTCAAATAGCAGCCTTGTTAGTATTAGCAAGTGGCATCAGTAACGTAACAAATGACACTTACTTGCTTCTTCCACTAAGCTCCTCACATAGGAGACGAGCTTTTTCGACTCCAGCATCCCAAGAACACATAGTGGTATTTTCAATTCGAAACGTTAAACTTTAATTTTTAAACGGGTGGGAGCTGAAGTACGTTAAAATTTCGAATAATGTTTCGCAGGCTTTTGATTTTCAATATATACTTCAGTTTCGATCATTTAATTTTTTATTTCAATTATTATTTGATCCGGGATATTTGAACAAGTAAACAACTACACTCGTTCCGTTCTTTCAAAAAGGAATAGTGCATTAGGCATGTGCTCTCGCCCCCTTTTTTTTACGGAGTGGTAAAAAGAATAGAATGCTGCTTATCCCTTTGACGCAGATGGGGCACGGGTGACCCTTTTACATACCTTTTGAGGCTCTAAGTGGAATTAATAATGCATTTTGATATTTTTTATTGTAAGAAACAGTCTAATAGTTACTAACAAAATGTGTTAAAGTATAGGAATTATATTAGTACTGTAAAATCGAAAAAAGTAGTTCGATTTTCTTTTCTTGATTCAAAAATTTATCAGTAATTGATTCTGTAAATTAAAGAAATTTCAATTATGCATATCTGTTTCTCTTAAATCTAAATAATAATTACAAATAAATGCAAATTTGAAGAATTGTTACTTGGAAGTGATTCATGTTTGGAAAACTTTACCTTTAATGCAAAAAGAAAAGAAAGAAAAAAGACACCGGCATCTCATGCTGTATGTGATAGTCACAAATTTTTAAAATGCTAAATATAATAGTTTTAATTTATTATGACCTACATTAATATCAAATAATGAAAAAGTATGAAAAATACGTTTAATAAAAAATTTGCGCTACAGGTTTATTAAGCGTATATTTGTTGCTTGTAGTTTGGGGTTTGCTAGATAGTATTCTGCATGCTTTGGGTCAATTTCTCAGATAAATATCGGAAACATTTTAATGCATACTTAAATTTTATACTATGTACTGTCAGTGATAATAAAATGTAAATTTAAGCACATTTAATGACTCTAATGACTTTGTAAGCATTTTTAAATGAAATTATTCTTAATGAAAAGAAAAATGGAGTGGTCCCGTGAATACGCATACTCTCGGAGCTTATGGCCCTGGCGAGATGCTTCTCTCTGCTTTCACCGGTGTTGAACAGTTTAAAAAAAGTCCACTGCTATTGACTATGGAGGAAATTATGTAAAGAAATTACATGATGGTTTTTTTTCTTACAGAGATCAAAGATAACAGTTTATTCTCGCATGTGGGAATTTATGAATTCTCGGAAACACGTATTTGTCCAATCCTATGAGGAAGGAATACGCAGAGTCCGGGAGTCCAAAGGGAAATACGCTTTCCTCATGGAGTCCACTAAGAACGACTACATCAACGAAAGACAACCTTGTGATACCATGAAGGTCGGTCGTAACTTAGATGCAAAAGGGTACGGCGTAGCTACTCCTTTGGGCTCGAACATTAGGTAACCTATTTTTCAACACTTCTTCTAAATATATAATTCGTAATACATGGTTTGCAAAGCCAAAACAAATATCAGTGGTGACAAAAGTTTAATGAGTCTGTTAGACATTTTAAAAATTTTAATTTCACTGGGTAGCGAAGTTTTAGCAAGTAAATATACAGACAGTGAATTGGGTGACTTACTGATTACAAAATTAAAGATATCAGAATCAAAATTCGATTGAGGAATGAAAAGATATGGTAAGTTTATATGATAAACTTTAATTTTTTTTCCAGAAATTTTAGAATTTAGTTGCAAAATTTACTAACAGATGCCGCTGTAAGCAATCGATGACCAGAGCAATCATTTCTAGTGATAAAACATGAAAGGATGCCGTACCGTATTTACCGTATATAAGTTTAAGCAAGGTATTTCGTTGAACAACGTCTGTTATTGGTAGTGGAGTAACACACAGGTTAGATTGCGGTTCTGCTGCATTTGTATTCTCTTCTAGAACTTTGTACACAGCAGAGCGCCATCTGCAGACAACTTTTGCAACTAAATTTCGAAATTTAATGTCATTTTGCTTCAATCTCTCTCGACTATTTTATTTTTTAATTTTCCTGGTTGTGGTCGTCTTATATTAATAAACAAAAACAAATATATAGAAATCGCAACAATGCATAGAAGATGCTTTTTAACACTGTATATGACATATACATCTATATTTTGCATTGTTAAATGACAGGAAGCTAAATTTTACTTGCATATAATTACATTAATATCTGCACTAAAAATTTAAATTCACAAGAAAAATTTTCATTAAAATTAAAGAAAGAAAAAAAAGGAATTAAACAACAAAACATTTGCTTCCATAATTTTTAATAAGCGAAGCTGGAAAATGGAATCTGAAATTTTAAAATTATTGGTAGTACAAAGAAAAATTATGACTATGAATTTTTATTATAACTTACGAAAAGTCTTTTATTTTACATTACATATAAGCAAGATAGAAAGAATTATAAAATCATACTTTCTGTTACCTAATTTATATACTAAATCTCAATGTAAAACCTATTGTAAATCCTAATATAATAGCGATGATTAAATGCTCTCAATGAAATTTAAAGAATAGGTATTTTTTATAATAAATAAAAAATTATGAATGCATTATATAAATATTAATATTTTATTTTTACATTATGATAGCTTTAAAATTGAAGAAAGAAAAAAATTAATCTGTAAGCATTAATCTGTAACCAATTTAAATAGCTCACTTTAATGTAGGCCATAACTGTGAAAGAATGGCTATCTGTGATGGAAAAATATGTCAAGTTCAAAAAATCAGATCAAGTTCGAAAAATATAAGCGTAACGAATTGTTCGTTTTATCAAAGTTGATAAAAAGCAAAAGCACTATATTTAAATGCTCTCGATGAAGTTTAAAAATGATCTATTTTATATCAAGGTTGACTAACACTTCCAAGTCATTATTTTTATAAAAATTATTACCACTTTTATTAAATCGTGACTGAATTCTTTAATCAAGCTAATAAAATGTTAACCAATCACTTCGCCGGAGTTATAAAATACAATCAAGATGAATGTGGTTGAAATTACATCTACTGGATTCCATTAATACTTTGATCCTTTTTTTTCTATGGATTCTGTTACATTATTCTTTGGAAAAGCTCATTTTTTTTTATTACAGAGAACAAAAAACGTTCAGAGGAAAAATTGGAGGCATTCAATCGTATCTCTTACTATTTCCTCCATATTTCAGAGGAAAAAGTGTTCTTCAATCAATGAAACGTAGTTAATCTTTCATAAATCGATAATGTCACAAAATATTTAAGTTTCTTTTATAGAGAGCTATTTTTTAAGGTTTCATCGTTTGAGTAAAACTGTTTTCTGAATAAAATTTGTGCTTTATGTTAAAAACAATTTGCTCTTTGTTATAAGAAAAATCGCTCAAAATTTTTTCTAATAACAGTAACAAACAAACAGTAGTTTCTCAAAATGTTTTCAATTTTGCTAAGTTAGTAAGTACTGGCGTTCGATTTACTTAATCCTTTTAAGAAACTTTTAAGTCTTGCCGTTATTTCAATGAAAGAAAAAAGGGATTTGGCAAGATTGAAAAATAAACGGTGGTATGATCGATGTGAATGCAGACAGTAAATAAAAATAATTAAGTTTCCTTTACAGATATTTATTTTTAACGTTCTATCATTAGAACGAGACAAATTTATGAGCAAAATTCTTATTTTTTGTTAAAAAAATAATCACAGTTTGTTATAAACGAAATTGCTGAAGACTTTATCGAATAGTAATAATAAACAAATAATAGTTCATAAAAAAGTTTTCGACATAGCTCAGTTTGCAAGAATATGTGTTCAAATTATTTTTTTATGTTTTAAGAATCTTTTAAATTGCGTCGTTCTTTCAATGAAATAAAAAGGGGATTTGGCCAGATTGAAATAAACACTCTATAACAAAAAAATTGACGCACCAAGAAGGAAGTGTCCGATTAAAACGAAAATTTGTGGATAGGAAGACAATGTGCAGAATAATAAATGATTAAAATTTCAGAACAATTGAATAATTTATTGCAGAGTTACAGAAACAAGTTCAATAAGATGTTGACCCCTCTCCAGCCTGAATACAAGCTGCCACACGGCGTGGCATAGACCGATAAAGCTCCCGGATGATCTCTTGCGGTATTTCCTGCCAAATTCAATCCAATTGTCGAACGAGGTCATCAACATTCCGTGCCAGATGCAATCGCCTTCCCATCATATCCCAGACATGATCGATGGGAGAGAGATCTGGTGATCTGGCAGGCCAAGGAAGAGTTTGACAACCTTGCAGACAGTTCATAGCAACACGTGCCGTATGTGGTCTGGCATTGACCTGCTGAAAAACCAGCCCAGGGTGCTGCAAAAGGAACGGTAGCAAAACAGGTCTTAGGATGTCGTCGACGTACCGCTGTGCAGTAAGTGTACCTCTAATGATGAACAAAGGGGTCCGACTGTCAAAGGAAATAACACCCCATACCATAATGCTTTGTTGAGGGCTGGTGTGGAGTGCAATAGTGTAGGCAGGATCCCCCCTCCGCCCCGTGCCTCTCCAAACACGTCTTCGATGATCGTCAGGACACAGTTGGAAGCGGGATTCGTCGCTAAGGACTATGCGTCCCCAGTCGGTATCATTCCAGCCATATCTGTTGAAAACACTCATGCATACGAAATTTCAAAGCAATTGGATGATTGCTTCTTGGTGCGTCAATTTTTTTTGTCATAGAGTGTAAATGGTGGTATGATCGAAACGAATATNTAGTAATAAACAAATAATAGTTTGTCTAAGGCTCTTAAATTTTGATGAATTTGTGAGCAAGGATGTTTTATTTACTTTTTTAGGGATCTTTTAAATCTTGCTGTTCTTTCAATGAAGGAAAAAGGGGACTTGGCAAGATTGGAAAATAAATGGTGGTATGATAGAAGTGAATGTAGAAATTCAGACAGTAAAGTGAGTATTAATAAGTATTTTTAATTATCTAATTAAATTGACTATTTACTTGACTATTTAAGTAAATGTTTTTCCTAAATATTTAAAGTAAGTATTTTTAACTATCTAATTAAATTGACTGTTTACTTGACTATTTAAGTAAATGTTTTTTCTAAATATTTAAAGTAACAATTTAATTTTCTTGAATTCGCATTTTAACACTAAATCTAAAGACAATATTTAATGTAATTTATCTGAAGATTAAGGCAATAATATCGATACATATCAATAATATCATACTGGTTGTCTTAAATTAGACCGATAGATTTTAAATGTTTATAATAGAATGTTTATAATAAGTTAACAGTTTAAACACCGAATTAAAAAAGGGTTATCCAAATAACTTGACATTTAACAAATACGCTGAAAAGGGTTTCTCAAAAAAGAAATTAAAAAAATTCGTGATTTTTTTTTCCTAGATTGCTTTTAAACATGTTCCATTTTTAGAACATAATCGTTGGACAAGAGCTTTTTTTATTACTATAATTATACTAGAATTACTACTAGAACTATTACTAAGTATACCTTTTTATTAAACATAAAATTATTAATATATTCCTGAGATATACATTATAATAGTACAGGAAATATATCAAAGATGACTCACATCGTGAGTTCACGAAAGTTTTGGAAATTAGTTCTCGGCTCTTCAGTTCTTCTGATTTGTCAAATTTCTTTTTCATATTCGAATTTATAGTTAGTTTTTCACTTTTTTGCATTTATTTGCACTTGTTTCAGGGATGTGATTATCCATTTTGTTTCAAATTTTATTTATAATGGGGGGGGGGTTATAATTAAAATTCAACTTTGAAAAGATTATACAAGAAAAACTACTGAACCGAATGTTATTTAACTAAGGAGGTCATAGAAATTTATTTTCAGCAAGAAAAAAAAAACCAGGGGTTGGATTTAAATCGTATTACTGCAAACTCAACAGTAGCTCTTAGAAAATCAGGTGGAATGTCATGGACATATCTGTGTCAATCCTTCAATTCTGCCAAATTTTTCACAACATTACGGTGCAACAGTAAATAAGTTAGACTCTGACCTTATTTCATTTAACAATATTGCATATAGCACTACTTTTTTAATTTTCTTAGCGGAAAATAAATTGAAATAATCTCCTTTAAATTATTATCAAGTTTGAACACATTTGGTACAGTAGTTTTCTTTTTATGACCATATCAAAAAAGTTTTTTATTATAACCACCCTGTACATTCGAAGCATTATCGACCATTCCATATCATAGCAAAAAGATCATATCATATCACTTCATATCGAATCAAAATAAGTTTCTAATTAGGTGATTGTTTCGTGTGTCATTAGGCTTCTCCTAGACATGGGGCTAACAACAAGCAAAAATTCAAATGAGACTGATACGAAAGTGAGGTACTTTTCTTTAACTCAAGCGGTTTCAAAACATGGATATCTAATCTGTATAAATTACGAGAATCAGGAACAATGTCAATAGCAACGAGCTATTCAATGCAAGTGTAGAGAACTTAATATAAAACCCCTTCAAGCATTGAGAAATATATTAACAAAAGAATATGACACTCTTTTAAAAGAAATAATTTTATCAGAAAGGAGTTTTCTTTTAATATCTAGAAGTCGAACAAAAGAGAAAATAATCAGTATTGAATAGGTGCGTATTTTGCAATACTATCTAAGTATTATTGTTATCCTCTGTCACTTATTATCAACTATCTGCTTATTAATTTTATTTCTTGACCTTCAAGGTTAAAAGATTCTGAACTCAGACAAATTTGAATCCCCTACGCTATTAATTACGTATCATATAAAATCAATTCATAGAAAAGCTCAAAACATAGCGCATTGAATCACATGAAATCCAAACATAGAACTCTGGATCTGCAAGTATTCTATTTCGTTTTAAAACTAATATTTTTATCATAAAACTTTAAGTTGAAATTTTGAAAAAAATGCCAGAGTTTTAATCGACTTACAGCACCATCTGTCTCAAAAACTTCGAACTAAACTCAGAATAGCTGCGGAAAAACTCTATTTCCTGTCATTTAAATTTTTGCTAGAATTTACTTCTTCTGAAAATGCTTTCATGTCATTTTTGTAAAACTATTATCGAATTTAGGATACCGCTTATTTTTAATTGTTTTTTTTTCAAGAGAAATTTTTTCTCTGTTATTGGCGTACGAATCAAAGGTAATAACAATTGAAGCACTGTTCCGGATGTTCCATAATCACTCTTCTAAGGTTATACTTGAAAATCTCAGTTGATTTTTAATTCACAAAATTATTCTCACAAACTCTCATGAATGTTCTCAAATACCCTCTTGGTTATTTATGAATAGCAGAATCTGACGAAATGTCGTTTAGAGCTAAGAAATTACGTAATTATTGCGAATTGTGCAAGGTCTGCAGACCATTTAATGAGGATAAAAAATAAGATGATCAGAAATTGTTATAGTTATATTTATGAATTATATATAATTTATGAATATATTCAATTTATAATAGCATTTACGTTGGCTGTAATATATGTTTATACATAATTTTAGTAGATATCTTGAAAAAAAACCTATTTTATTTAATTACATATACCTAACTTAGTTTTATAGGTTCTATTACTCTAAAAGCATGCAAGATATATTCTCCTTGACTTTAAGTACGCAACGCGTGAATCGTAGCAACCAAAATAGTATTCAGGAATATGCACCCTCACTTTTGTTTGATATATGCAGAAAAATAGTGCAACATAATTTTTTACGAAGATAATGTAATTTTGTCCCTCGAAAGAATATTTAAAAAAAAAAGCTGATGGCTTCTTGAAAAAAATCTTCAAATTTTGTAATTTATCGAAAATTTAAAAAAAAATGTATGGACAATGTAGCTATGCATTAATGGTTTGCATTTTGCAAGATTTAAAATTTGCTATTAATTCGAGAAGCTGAAAGCTATTTCAAATATAAAAAAAAGAGTTTCGGAAAACGTTACTAATTATCGTTATCTAAACGAACCTGCAAAAATATTTATAAATAGATAAGTAATAAAAAATTTACTTTGAAAATGGTTTAATTAATCTATCTAGTTAAATTTAGCTAAAATTAGGTAAAATTCTGATGTATAATATATTTTTATATCCATTGCAATGGCCGGGATAGCCTGATCCGAATGAATGCAGCAGATAAATATTTTCATGTTGTAGTCTTTTAATGCATGATTCTTGGTTTAGTAAATTCAATTTATAAAGTTTTGGTCTGGTTTTAGTTTTTTTTCTATTGAAATACTGATTTGAAAAGTCACTTTCAGAGATTCCAACTGCTCCGAATTCAATTAAATATTTTGAAAAACGGTAGTGAACAGCAAACTAAAATTAGAAGATTTTCCTTTAATACTACCAACTTTTTTAAGAGCTCATCACGTCGAAACTGTAGAATGGTAGAAATCACATAAATCTCGGTGCGCTGCCGCAAAGCGGCATTAACCGATTCATCGGTAGTAATAAATCGATGATGAGGAGGAATGGAGAAGGGAGGAGAGGGGGTGCCCAGCACCAAAAATTCGAGAGGGGGTTCGAGTGACATGGAGAATCAAGAAATGTAGTGGGGCATGGGGTATAATTAAACTACAATGTAATCATAAACAATATAAAATAAAATAATCATGAAGATTATGATAATCGATAATATTCAGGATGGTCAGGGTTATATATAAAATATATACATATGTTTTCAACGCCCGATAATCACGTCGATACTGTGAAAAGTGGCATATAAAATAAACTTATGAATTATTCAGAGGTAGTGGTGAGTTAAAACACTGTAAATCGAATTTAATAAACCAAGAATCATGCATAAGAAGCAAGTTGTCTTGAACAAGCTGGCATCTCTGTACTTTGTTTCTGTTAAGCCGTGTTAAGACTTACAAAAAGTTGGCAAAATTCGCCGAAAATCTACAAATTTTAGTTTGTAGTTTTCGACCGTATTTTGAAATATACTGTTGAATCTGGAGCAGTTGGCATCTCCGTATTCATTGTATATTCATAAAAAATTCGGTACGTGCAGTTACTAAAAGTGAATAATTGAAAAAATGACGTTTTCCGAAGTAATTTTTTTTGCAAAAACGAGTCAGCTCTTCATGTGGAATTTATAGCTAACTTACGTTAAAAGATAGTAGTATACGAACTTTTTCTGCATATATAAATAAATATATATGCAGGAAAAGTATATATATATATGTAAAATGATGCAGTCGGACCGAGCAGGGAAACAGACACAGGATTTTAATTAACTCAGAGTAAGTTTTATTTGATCATTCTTAGTTGAGTGGGAGCGAAAAAGTGATGTTTACTCCATCAGCAAACAGTCTTTCTGGTAGGGAAAATCTTGCAAAAAATCCTAAAATGTCTCNCAAGTTGTCTTGAGCAAGTTGGCAAAATTTGCCGAAAATCGAGCGTATTTTGAAATATACTGTTGAATCTGCAGCAGTTGGCATATATATATATATATATATATATTTCTCTGAAATAACTCAGATCTAATTCGACTATAGAAAATAAAGTTTCGATAAACGACGCAAATTATTGGTTTCTTATTCCTTTCTAAATTAGGCAACGAAAAAATAATGTATGAATAAATTTGCAGTAAAAAATTTGCTTCGAAAATGTTTTAATTAATCAAACTAGTTAAATTTGGATAAAAAAAACTGAACCTTTGGATGTATAACATATTTTTATTTCCTAGACAATTAAAATGGATCGTAATTATTTGCGAAATTTTCACAAAGTGAAAAATATTGGTCTGAATGATATTCATTATATATTCATTAACAATTCAGTGACCATATTTGAGGAATATTTCGTATAATTGAATATATGAAAAAGGAATGTTTTCCAAATGATCATTTTTCCCATACTCAAATCAGTTCTTCATCTGGAATTTACAACTAACTTATTTTTAAATATAGTACCATACGAGATTTT